ATACCCCGGTGTGGGGCAGTTGTTACTGAGCCGTGACGTCGTGACACCTCGGTGTGGAGGCCAACGTTGACGTGCTTGAAGAATTGGCCGTAAGTCCGCAGGAATTTTTAGACCGCCCAAAAAACTGCCCCAAAAATAATATTCCCACTGTAGGTAGAAGAAAAGAGCCGACCCTGTACTCTGTACTCTGTACTGTGTACTCTGTACTGTGTACTCTGTCTGTATACAGTACAATCTGAGGGTAGACCTGTACTGTAGTACTTGTTACTCTCTTATTAAGCATTTATATTCATATAAATATATTCAGTCCCAGAATATCTTTAATTAAAGACTTAATTAAATTAAAAACTTCCTGAAGTGTAGGAACAGCCCAGGTCCAGGTCCAGGTCCAGGTCCAGGTCCAGGTCCAGGTCCAGGGTCCGTGTGCAGCTGTGCTTTTGTGACCTCTAGTGTTCACTGTATGTATTTCAGTTTGGAACCTGAAACCTCAGAGGCCGCTGCCTCCAAGACACGCCTCATGTCTGTTGCAGTCACTCCAACTTTACCCCCCCCCCCNGTCTCCTCTCTGCAGCGTAAGTGTTCCTCTAAGTCTTCAACTTCTAAACTTCACTGTGATTGGGTTCTTTACTAACGTTCTGTTTGTGCTGCACTGACCGTAGACTATGACGTCACTTTAACAACCCGTGTTGACAGTAACGGATGACGACTGTTCGCTGCTGAACGTCATTCAGTAGTACATGTGATGGGTCATCTTTGTTGTAGCTCCCTATCTCTCCAGCAGGAGGCGCTTTGTACACAGTTAGGATTCAAATCTATACCGCGTTCCAGGAACCAGTGAGTTCTGTTCACTCTGAAAAACAGGGCTTAAAAGACAACTGGAAAAAAGACACTGTCTTCAGGAGGGACATGTGACCGAGAGCTGCTCCCAGCAGGTCAGCTGGGGGGCCGCCACCCCCGGATCTGTGTCAGATTACCAACATGACCAGACCAGACCGGGGTCTGATGAAGTGTAAAATCATTCATTTTATCAACCAGTATCTGTAGAAAGAACGTTCTTTGATGCATTAAAAACGGTTTGAAAATTCTGAGCTGTTTGACTGTCACTTATGGTTAACAGGACCCCCCCATCTGACCCCCCATCTGACCCCCCATTTGACCCCCATCTGACCTCCATCTGACCCCCATCTGACCCCCCATCTGACCCCTAAAGAAACAGAAAAACACATTAAAAACTCCCAGTATTTCTAAATGAAAATAAAAACACATTTTATTTAATGACTATTATACATTTATATTAGTGTTAATTCACTCTTTAAACATATTTTATATAGAAATAAATACATATACATTTATACACTCGTGCAGCCCAACGTACTGCAGTATATTTGTGGTATATTTGACCTGGTGAAACACCCTCTGGGTGACACTACAACTGTGTTCTTAGCGCCGCCTACAGACGAACGGAGACAATATTGCTTCAAAATCCGGTTTTGTTTTTGAATGTGTTCCAGCCCAGTGTGAGCCATCAGTATGTGGGCTGCACCACGTGGCCCCTCCCTCATCTATATAAGCTGAGGAGAACCAGAAGACGAGGCGACAAACGTGGTTTCTCCTCCTCAGGCTGACTGCACCCCCCCTCCCTCCTGTGAATGACCCCCCCAGGACCGCCGACCCACAGGTAGGTCCACTCCGCGACTCCGGTCCTAATTGTCAAACACTGACGTCACTCCAGCCCACAGGAGTGGCGTTGTTGACGCGTCGCTGACGGTCCCGGTGGTCGGTGCTGTTCCCGCGGATCACACCTGATGACGCTGACCGTCACTTCCGCCGCCGGACACTGACCTGGGCTTTTACTGAGCAGTTTATATGTTAGAGCCGAGAACTGAACCGGGATTTAAACTAAACTGATTGGAGTAACACCCCCCCCCCCCCCCCCCCCGGGGGGCAGTACATTAACGACGTTAAGTATTTGATAGTGAACGGACTTTACAGTGTATTTTCTGAGAGTAATCTTTAGTCCAGCCCCGAGGGGGGGACGGGGGGGGGGGACGACAGGTGTTTGATTGTTTTCTAATGATCTTGTCCTTCTGTTAAAAACACGGAGCTGTTGTTTTTATTATGATGGTCAGATGGTCAGTGCTGGTCATCTGGTCATCTGGAGGTGGACCCTGGACTCAGACCACTCTGACCCTGGTTCCTAGACCAGGTTCCTAGACCAGGAACTGCAGTACTGCCAGGGTGCGGTTGGTTTCTTATCTTGGGTCATTTTTGGTTTTTGTTTTTTTCTACACAAAGTGCCGTCGCCGTCGCTGACCGTAACGAGGAGTCGCTCTGATGAGTTCTGATGCCGTCCTTCACAAGAACCAGGTAGTACTTAGAACACTAGTAACCATTCAGTCACTGAAGTACAAACGAAGTACAAACGAAGTAAAGGTTTACTGTACCGGTGTACTTTCTCTGGTATCTGCTGTAACCACAGATTGGCTCAGAGGGTGAGGGGCGTGGCCAAGTGTTTTCTTCTGTTTCCACTGGTCCTCTACCTCCTCTACATCAGCACTGCTTCCATAAAGTGAGTACTAGTACACAGTACGAGTACACACAGTACTCAACAGTACTTAACAGTAGTAGAATTGACCTTGAATAATAAATAATAACCGACAGTTCTGTCTACTCTAGTTACAGAGGTTTTAGTTCTGCTCGTCAAACAGTCGTTGATTGATTGATTGATTGATTGATTGATTGATTGATTTCTGACTGCTCTGTAGATGGAGTGATGTTTTCGTTTCAGTTTTTCAGGTTTTGTAACAAAGTTTTCTTCCATGGATCGGTGTTCTCTGGAGAGCGGGAAGAATCTGAGTCTGGACAACAGTTTTGATGCTGGTCTCAACCTCATGTAGGAACTTTTCAACTTCTGTCTTTCTTTCAAAAACAACACGTGTTTAAGTACAGAACCAAACATCTGAATGTGGAAAAAATGGACTGCTGTTCAGAAACATTTCCCACTAACCCTAATGCCGCCTCCATCACTCCCTCCCCCCTTCTCCCCCCTTGTTCCCCCCTTGTCCCCCCATCACTCAGGGCCAGGAGTGACGTACAGATGTGCACCTACTGGAGAGCGCCCATCATCTGGGAGGAAATGTTTGACCCTCAGTTTTATGATGAGATGCACAAGAAACAAGGTTCTTCTGTGGC